AAAAAAAAAAAAAAAAAAAGATGGCATTGGCTTCAGTGATAGCAGTTTGCTTTCTTAAATGTTTTCAGCCTTCCACAGGGATAAACTGAAAAAACCCCAATGCCACTGAGTCAATTCTGACTCATAGAGACCCCTGTTGGGTCTGGCCTATTGGGTATCCAAAGCTGTAAATCTTTATGGAAGCAGATTGTGCCATCTTTCTTTTCTTCTGTGGAGTGGCTGGTGGGTTTGAACCACCAACCTTTTGCTCAGCAGCCAAATGCCTTAACTACTACACCACCAGAGCTTCATTCCATAGGGATAAGTAGGATGCATATGCAGAACTGGCATAATTCTACATTCTTCATATTGACGACATGCCAAAAGCCAGGGCCTTCATCTGTAGGACAAAGGCAACAAGGAAACATGAAACCAGCAAGCACACCATTAAACAATGTGGAGAACAGTGGTTTTGTGAACTGTGGGCCACTCTCAAGACAATGACATTTCTCTGTGATTCTTATTCATGAATCACTGAAATGTAATTAAAACAGGTTCATATGGTTACATGAAAGCTTTAGCAGGCATTTATACTGTTTCAAGATGGCAGCCTGAACCATGAAAACGGAATTCTTGGCAGTTTGCTGGATTTTATACAAATCAGTCATCTCCTTAAACTGAATTGAAAAGTCTTCCTTTAATTTGTCAAAATTTGCACTACACAGGGTAGGAACGAGCATAGAAAATGAAGTGTAAACATTTACGCAAAAATTGAATTTGGACAACAATTCCCTTTTTCTCAGTTGGGATTTATCTTTTCTGAGTACTTCCTTCCTAGATCAATTAGGTAGGTTCATGGTTTGATGTTTAAGGTGAAGAAGGAAGTCTGCAGAAATGTGCTTTCCCAATCCTAAGGTGAACGACAGCTTTAGTGTAATGTTCGATAGCTTTTGTTTCAGGTTGAGGGTTTTGTTATTCAAAACCAACCAAAGGAATGGAAAAAGAAGTACATTTTTTTTTTTTTTTTCCTTTCTTACTCATGAGCTTGTGATTTGTACTATTCATTTTCAAAATTGCACAGACTCAGAACCAAGAAATAGCCCAGCATCAGATGGGTCAATTTTGCACGGTGAAAATCCATCACGGAGCCATTCAGTGCTACTTGCTCTCCTCCTCAGTGGACTTCTGGCTTGAAAAAAAACTGTACAGTGCCCTATTTTCAAATTCCTTATCTTTCTCAAGCAACTTCTTGCTGTTTATTTTTTTTCACAACCTCAGGATTTTAATGCCTTTGGTTGAGGAAAATGGAAAAGTGACATGGGAAGATACCAAAAAAACCAAACCCACTGCCATCGGATCATGCCAACTCCCACTGGGTTTCCAAGGCTGTAAATCTTTATGGAAGTAGATTGCCTCATCTTCCTCCTGTGGAGCAGCTGGTGGGTTTGAACCACAGACCTTGTGATTAGCACCTAGCAGCCAACTACCTTACCCACTCTGTCACCAGAGCTCCTTAACGGGAGGAAGGAGATCTTCGATAGGGCTGGACCTAAAACGTTATTCTGTTCTAACCTTTGACTTGCCATTGTACCGCAGCCGAGAAGTGACTAGAATAATCGCTGTGCAGTCACTGTTGCTAACTGCTGTTGAGCTGGCCTCACACTCGTGGCAACAGGATGAACAATGGAATGAAATGCCGCTGTGTCCTGGGCGCCCTCATGATTGCTTGCAGATAAAATATTGTGATCCATAGAGTTTTCACGGGCTGATTTTCAGAAGTAGATCACCAGGCCTTTCTTCTTAGTCTACTTTAGTTTGGAAGAACCTCCTAAAACCTTCTCAGCATCATGGCAGCATGCAAACCATTACTGACAGACAGGTGGTGGTTGGCACGAGGTGCATCGCCAGTAATCAAACCTGGTTCTTCCGAATGAGAATTCTATTACTGAGCCATCTCTCCTCCCACTGCATTAACCATCTACTCTTGAGTCAGTTCTGACTCTGGATGACCCCACGTATGTGCCAGGGTACAACTGTGTTCTACAGGGTTTTCAATGGTGAGTTTTTAGAGTAGCTTTCCAGGCTTTTTCTCCAAGCTGCCTCTGAGTGAGCTTAAACCTCCAATCTTTTGCTTAGCAGCCAGGTGGGTTAATCTTTTTCACCATTCAGGGACTCAAGTAGTCATTAAAACTAAAAAACCAAACTCACTGCCATCGAGTCGATTCCGACTCATAGCGACCCCCACTGGGTTTCTGAGGCTGTAAATCTTTATGGAAGTAGATAGCCTCATCCTCCTTCGGCAGAGCAGCTGGTGGGTTTGAACTGCTGACCTTCTGCTTAGCAGCCAAATGCCGCCACCATGTGGCCATGTTCAGTACTACAGCTTCTCTACCTGGGCTCACAAGTTTGTAAACTTTTTCTAAGAGCTATCGCGGATTCCATAGGATGAAAGATGTCTGCACCATGTGTGAAACTTTTCCATATCTTCATCTTACACCTGTATTATTTAGTATCTCCATGGAATCATAACCCTTTTGACCAAAACCAGGAGACATGGTCAGAGCCTCTGTTGATAAACGGGAGAAGTTTCTATTGATTTTCACATCAGTTCATCATTGCCTCCTACCTTTTAGCTTTAGAAAAAAGAGGTCAGAGGACCCAAGGAAGGCACTGTATGCACTAACAAAACATTTAAAGTTATTTTTAAAAGTTAAAAGTCAAACAAATTTGGAGACAGTACTGTAGTGGGATGAGTATGCAATCGGAATCAGTTTTTATTCTAGCCTTGATTCTGTTTCCAACCCATATGTGACCTGGAGGGGTCATTTACACTCTGTGAGTTTATTCCTGTAAAGTGAACAGGTTGGAACAGATCATTCTAAGGTTCCGTCTGGCTCTACACCTGATCTGCCCATGGATGGCATTTGATATTGTGGTGCAATGAATTCCTTTTATATGCTCTTTCTAGCCATGGTCTTATAACTCTTATGAAATGATTGGGTGGGACGATGCAAATAAAAAGGGTAAAACTCTTGCTGGGATATGCAAATAAGGGGCCTGTGGCACACCAAGGGGATTGATCAGCTTTGCCATTCCAGTAGGTTGACCAGGACTTCACTACTATCAAAAAAGAAGGGCTGGCAAGAAGTGGGGCATGTCCTTTGGACTCAGGGTCCTGTGCTAAGAACCTCCTAGACCTAGGAGCTGGAGAGCTGACAAACTGGGGAGCTGTAACACTGGTCGTGGTCGTGGCACGAGACGGCAGCAGTGCCTGGTGGCAGGGGCTGAGAATAAGCTGTCTTGATTGAAAACCTGTATCTTGAGTTGTTCCTGTTACTTCCAAGTTGATCTTGATCCCAAGTTGTAACCTCTGACTTCCCTAGTAAACCCCATAATTAATGTATATGGTCTGTGAGTTCTGTGTGGCACTGCAGTGAATTATCAAATGTAGTAGAGAAATACAATGTGCCATGGGAGGGAGGGCTTGCATCTGAATTGGTAAGAAGGTATGATCTATATTTTCCTGTGACCTCATAGGAATAAGCCTATGATCTTCATTATTCTTTTCCCTCCTTCTGAAGTTAGACGAGGAGGTCTGACATGGCCCTTTTACACTATGCCCTGCACAACGCCTCCTGGCCAGTTGTATCTCTGAGCAGATAACTCACTTTCTTGTCTTTACTCATCACTGTCTCTGGCCTTAACATCACTCTTAGCTCAAGTCATTCAATCACATATTTCACCTTTCAAGTGCCTATGATTTTTGGAGCCAATATCTGAGTCAATATATGGGAAACATTGGTCTTTTTAGCTCATTTTACATCCGTTAAAAAATTGAAATCATTGGTTTAATTTAAAGTGTAAAAAGAACGGTTTTTAATTGGCAAGTGATACAAACTCAACATAGGATCTCTAAATAAGTTCACATCTTTGTCTCTCTTAAAAGTTTGCTCAGATATTTTATGATGAATGAAAGTTTCATTGATGCCATTCATTTGACATTAGATGTGGCCGTAATGCCTTACAGAAGTGAAAACTTGTCACCAAAACTGGTGGCCATCAGGACAATGATGGCATTCATTGTCCGACAGAACGTCAAGTGGTATCAACTTTTGAAGATACAACTGAAGATGCAGCCCTTGACATCAAGGAACCCAGTTTTGAAAGAGACAGATATGCACTGCTATGTACTTCTCTATGTCAGCACAGAGGAGTGAAATCTAATCAGTTTGAGGGCGATACTTGGTAAATCCTGAAGGGTGTGTATTAGTTAGCAAAGAGGGTCTGAAACGGAAGGGCAACATCTTGGAGAAAAATTCATTTCAGCCAAGTAAGTTTATTCAGTACTTATTATTTTCAATGATTTGGACTTCTCTAACCTCAGGTATGTAGTAAATGGAGAATAGTTGTTTTCTCTTGTTGTGTGTTGTCAAGTCAATTTTCAACTCTTGAAGACCCCATGCAAAAGAGAACTGCCCTGTTGCTTTTCTAGGCTGCAACCTTTACAAAGCAGATCACAGGTCTTTCTCCCAGGTGCCCAGTGTTAACCACTGTGCCATCAGGCCTCCTTTATTTGGTTCTAATTCAACTTATTTCTAAGCTCAAATTTACTTTGCAATATTCAATTTGGGAAGTCCAATGTCCTAGTAGGAGCTCTGGTAGCATAGTGGCTAAAGCACTTGACTGCTAACCAGAAGGCTGGCGGTTCAAACCCACTAGCCACTCCTCGGAAGGAAGGTTGGGCAATCCTACTTCCGTAGCGATACTGCCTCGGAAACCCAAGGAGGGGTCGCTATGGGTCGGGTCCGACTCGACGGCACATAACAACAACAACAACAACAATGTCCTAGTGTGTTTCTAAGTACTACTAGGAGGACCTAGTGAGTAGACCCGTGGATGCAGAGCTGACTAACCCATGTTAATTGTATACGTTCTCCCGGTGCACATCCTTGAAACCCAGGAAAGTGACCGTGAGTGGATTTAGTCACAGGTTTTCTGTGAAATGGGGGCTGGGGGCTGGGCAGTGGGAGGTTTAAATATAAGAAGAATGAAGGATTTGGGGATCCTTTTAGTTTAGTAAAATAAGATGAGAAGATTAAGGACATAAAATGTTGGGAAGCTATTTCACACTACTCCAAGTACAATAAAGGCTCTCTTAACTGACCCCTACTTGCCATTCTCCAACTTCTCTGTACAGTTACTGGTGGATGCTGCAGCATGGTGAATGCTCCTGACTTTTCTCCAGTGCCCCCAACACTTCTCTCAGTTTACAATAGCTGCAATTACATAAATTAAACTGCACATAAGCCAAGGAGATAGGAATTTGTACGATTTTCCTCTTCCCCAGGTGAACATGTACACTTACTGTTTTATACCTCACTAGTTCATCTATAAGGAGCTCTGCTAGCACAGCACCTAAGGCAACTGACTGCTAAACAGAAGGTTGGTGGTTCAAAACCACCAGCCACCCTGTGGAAGCAAGACTGGACAATCTACTTCTGTAAAGATTTACCACCTCGGAAACCCAATGGGGTTGCTGAGTCGGAATCCACTTGATGACAGTTTTTTTTTTTTTTATTGTGATTTGGGTGAAAATTTACAGAGCAAATTCACTTTCCATACAGCAGTTCACATACACTTTGTCTCATGACATTGACCACAGTTTACCACAATGCAACACTTCCCCTCCCACTTCCTCCCCATAGTTACCTCTTCCCAGTGTCCATCCCTCCATGCACTCCTGCCCCCTGAGCTGTCTCCAGCCCTTCTTTCTCCCATGATTGTTCTCTCCAAGGAGTGTATCTACCTCAGGTAAATGTTCAATTCATATGCCTGTCTTTTGTTTGGCTGGAAGCCACAGGTGTGGGTTCAATTCCAGACCTGAAGGGCAACCAGGGGCCACAGTCTCAATGGTTCCATTAGGCTCTATCAGACCAGCAAACCTCGTACCCCCTTTTATTTTTCCAAATGATTTTGAGTCTCATTCCACATTGTTCTCCCTCTCTATCCAGGATCTCTTACGTAGATCCCCGAGTGGTTGACAGTGGTAGCCAGGCACCATCTAGTTCTTCTGGTCTCATAGTCATATAGGCTGCGGATCGCATGGTGTACAGTCACTAGGACTAATTCTTCCCATGAATCTTTGATTTTCTTCACTCTTCCTTGCTCTGGATGAGGAGAGACCCATCATTGCATCTAGATGGCTGCTTGCAAGCTTTTAAGATTCCAGTCGCTACTCACCAAAGTAGAAGGTGGAATAATGTTTTGTGTAGTATGTTATGCCAACTGAGCTTGATGTCAGTGGGTTTTTTTGTTTGTTTAGTTCACCTATGTCTGTCTGTTCCTCTAAGACCACACAGGTACTATTTTCTTTTCAAATCCCATCAGGTAACTTGTTACCAGCTTCTGCTACGTACAATAGCCACAGTCTGAAATTCTTATTAATACAGAATGGGCTTTTAATATGAAGAATTCTTTCAGACAAGTTCCATACACAGCCATGGTATCTTTTTAAGCATTTTAAAAATACATTAAATACTTAAAAGAAATAGTATTTTTTAAAGATGTTGATGGCAGATGGGGAAAAATGCTCCTAAAAAACCAAGCTTTAGGTCTGAATTACTAAGAAACAATTGCAAGATGAGTAATTTTAAAAATCTCTTTATTTATAGACATTTCAGAACCATTTAAATCAATAGACAATGATTTTTTTTTAGACATATATACTGTGTTTATCTTGAGGTACAAATTGGGCCCCTAAGATAATGCTCTGGAAAGTAATACAATTGTTAACTGGTTGTTAACAACCCAAGTTTTCCAAGCAAAGAAAACTGTGAAGATGGTTACAAAATTCTTTGAAAAGAATACACTATTCCCACTTAAGGAAAACTCCCCAGTTTTTCATTAATTGAGTTTATTTTTTTAGGCTAGTAGCTTAAACAATATTTCAAATGGAACTTATTATGAAAACAGGAGAACAAATTTATAGCTAAGACATTATCTGAGCCCTACTACCTATCATGAGATTGTAAACAAAGGAAATTCACAATCTGGTAAGCTCTATTACAAAATTCATAGCCTAAAAGTTAGAGCAGCAAAATTACAGAAGAGACTTGTATATAATTTTAACTGAAATCACGTTTACCCCTTGTTCCAGGCTTTTACAATGAGACAAATTTTCAAACACCAAGTTTCGAAGACTAAATGATGTGATTTTATGAGAGGTGGCCATAAAAATCCTACAATATCACAATTCTGCAGTATTAAAGTCCTACTTTCTACCATTTACTCTGGACAGCTTACTTCTTGTGTCCTAACAGCCTGGTGCCTCTACATTTCTAGGTAAATAGTGGAAGTGGTCTCATGGCCACACTGTTCTGAATACCTCGTGTATCAGTTGCAGATTTAACATTTCTGGTAGACTGAGATTGAAATTTTCTTTGAAGAGTTTACCAGGCTTCTTTGGAGGAGTGTTTTGTTTTCCAAAATGTTCATCTTATACTAGTTAGGCATGATTATTAGTGGCTTTTTAATACAAACTATTTGGAAGGTCAAGGACCCTCCACATGCTCATCCCCCAAACTTCCTGAGGAGTTGTTTCATGGATGTACTATGGGTCTGGCATGTAAGCAGGTGTTCATGCATGTATCTGAGAACAGTCAGAGTCCATTGTCATGCTTCCCAAAAGACTGTTGTTTCATCCTACATGAGACAAGAATAAATATTACCATAGTTAGCCAAATGGGCAGTTTGCCGAGGCTTCATAAACGCGAATGGTATCTGTGGGGCCGAAAGGGCATAAGTGTAAATTTCACAGTTCATAAAGTTGAGCAGCTCAACTTTAAAGAAGAGAGAACTTAGAAGCATTTACAAGATTCTGAGAAGGAACCGATCTGTGAGTGTTTGAGTTCTTCCTCTCAACACGGTCACGCTCACGTTTTAGATTTTAGCTTCTGGGCTTGGTTTATTGCTGATTGCTCTCTTTTTGATGAGGGCTGGGACAATTTCAGTCATCAGTTTAAGAATCTCAAAAAGGCTTCTGTTTAGAGACAAGCACTGTGGTTGCTACATGGACTGCAGGAACCTGTCAGGAGAAGATGGGCCATCTTGAGCTGGTTGGTTAGAAAAGGTGCAGCTATGGGGATATCTGAATTCACTTTCCACTGAAAAACGAAAGCTTTGAGAGGGAAGGGCTGTCTCCTTCATACTTCCTCTCTACATCTGTCATGATTCTCTCGGGGGTGTGAGGGTCTTGTCTAGTCAGGTCTTGCCACCTTCTCCAGACAGGTTTTCAGCTCAGGAGTGGTCTACTGCGATGATATTTAGTTGTAGCTTTACAGATAACAGAATACATTTATTAAAATGAAAAAATATTCCAAGTCAACAAAAGGAAAAATTAACCAGTGGGAGACAAGGCTGCTTTCTGCCTCAAATATATTTCAAGCTTTAATGGTCTGGTGGTATTTATTTTACACTTTCTTTGAGAGGCTGTCATTTCTCCTAGTTTTGGATTCTTTAAAGACAAGACACACTTAACTCCTTACATCCAACTGCCCAGATGATTTCATCTCTCTCATACATTCACGATAGCAGGAACTGTGATTTCAAATACAAATAATATGTGCTCCAAGAGGGTAAGAGCTGTCTTTTTCAGCCTTGTAGAATCAGCACCAGCATAGTGCCTAGCACAAAAAAGCTGCTCAATATGTTCAATGAATCAGTGAAATGAATGTACGAATGGAAGGTTGTGGTCCCTGCCCTCAAGGACTCACCATATTGGCAATCAATACAAGACCAAAACAAAAAACAAAAAACAAAAAAAACACAACTATTTTGTATAAAGTTTTGCAAAAGGAAAAAAAAAGGGGGGGGGGATAAAAAGAGATGATTGTCTATGAGGACAACATTCTTGGTAAAGCAAACCCAGCTTTGTTCCTCCTCCAGAATTCGAGAGTTGTGTCTAAGTGCCAAGTGTTTTAAAACTAATTCAGCAAGTTTGACAAGGAAAACGCCCATTTTTTCAATTGCATCTCATGTTTTCATTTTAAAGGAAAGTTCGGAGACATTAGCTTGTTAAGGGAGTTCCCCTTCCTACAAAAGAATGCTTACTAAACATTAAAGTAATTGAGGGGTCTCACGGCATGTGATGTAGTACTGGAAACTTCACAGATGTGTTGTCTACTGTGGAAGGGGTGCTCTAGTGTGACAAATTTTAGAGTATTGTTTTTACCTATTTATATTATGGGAGACATTTAGGAGAAAAAATAAAAGCTCCCCTTTCACCCTCCCCCCCCCTTTTTTTAATTAAAAGAATATCTAACAGGGAAAAGGAGTCCCTGGATGGTGTAAATTAACACACAAAGCTGCTAAGTGAAAGGTTGGGGGTTTGAGTCCACTCAGAGGTGCCTTGTAAAACAGTCCTAGGGATCAATTCTGAAATATCAGCCATTGAAAACACCACAGAGCACAGTTCTAATCTGACACACATGGATTCACCAATGAGTTGGGACTGACTCAATGACAACTGTTTTTTTATTTAAGATGGAAAATGAGAATCACTATCAATTCACCATAACTGTAACCATGAGATCGATTGAAATTTAATGCCAAGAAATAAAGTTATATTGCACAGAACAAAAACAAGAGCTGCAAAATTAGACTGGTGTGTAGATGTGTATTTAGAAAGATCAAAATATCTTGTCTTTATTTATTTATTTTTTTTTGTGAGCAGAAAGAGCAGGTAATAGAACATAAGCTAATCCTGCAAGTTACACTGACAAGATACTGGCTGACTGGCCCAGCACCGAGGCTGCAGCTTGATCACAGACTGCCTGTACGTCCAGAGTTTGGGGCAGACCATGGTGGAGGTAGGGCTGTGTGGATGGCATCTTGCTCAAACTTAAACTTGTCCAAGATTTATATTCCTTCGAAAAGAATGAGGACAATGCTGATTTGTTTTGGAATATTTAATCACATGTAGTAGAAACTGTCAGACTAACATCCTGAAATTTTTGGAATAAAATTGGAAGAGAGGAAAAAAGTTTGGGCAATAGAAAGTACTCTTACTGATATTTTTCTAATTATTCAACAGATGTAGCACACGTAATAATAGGCGATGGCATTTTTGACTTTTGAGCTCTCCTAAAGCATGAAACATGCTGAGAACAGTTAACATGCTCTAAGAAATTGTCCTTAGACTTCTGTCAGACTTCAGGTCAGTTAAGACCCTCAGACCAGAGAAGAATTATCATCTGGCAGAAACTGTCATTTCCCCAGATACCGACATGGAAGTATTATATGTAAAAACCAGTCCTATAATGGGCTTAAAGGCAAATTTAATCCTTCAATACAGACACTCTAGCGATTTGTTCCAAGTCTTCGGTTGTGAGCCTAATGAGATTCAACTTCGAATGACAGGGTTCTGAGAATCTTTGGAATCATTCTGTCCCCTATTCTAAGAGAGTCCACTTTTTCAGCCCTAAAACCTCAATAGATCTTTGAAAGTGAACAGATATGATCTAAAACGTGACCCAGAATGACATTTTAGAACATGTGCAGGTGTATTATGTATATATATATATATATATATATATATATATATATATATATATATATGTATATATATATTTTTTTCTGCTCAATTAAATTAGCAGCAGTTATAGATAAATTACTGTGGGCATGATTTGTATAGTTTCTAAGGACACCACATATCCTCCATTAACAGATGACTTTTGCAATATGTCTTTGATAAAAGATTTTCCCACCAAGCATATAACATTAAAGTGTCATTTCATATTACTAACATTTTCAGGCACAAGAGTTAAACAATTAGCAATAAGCAATCGAAACGACAGAGCACAGAATATAGATAATTGTCTGAAGTCAACCCTTTCTCCAAAGAAGGGAATTATTGTTCAAAAGTGTTTTTTTTTTTTTAAAGATTTTTATGTCTTTCAGCTTTGGCTATTTTGTAATAAATATCATACCTTCTCACATAAACCTATTTGGGTTAAGAATGAATTCTTGGAACATGCCTTTTTCCTTTTAGCAGCTGTTGAGTGTTGAGTGATGTACAAGGCACACCTCTATGTGTTCTGTACAGCATTTTTATTGATGTACAAAATAGCCTGTTCACCATTCAAAAAACGTAATCTGCATAGTAAGAGTGTCCCTTATCCCTATTTACAGAGAAGGTTTTTAGTGCAAAAACATGAAATTATGTCCCAGCCTTCCCCTTCTAGCACACAAAATGATCAGTTTTGTTCCATGCTAGCTGGGGTTATTTGGCTATATTTTGGGCCTCCAGCCATTAATGAATTGCATTATCTTCTTCACCTGCAGTTTGCTCAATTTGAAATCCTCAGAAAGGATTTCTTCTGTCAGTTGAACAAGCAAATTCCCATCAATCTTTTCAGTAACAAAGAATGATATGACATCTTCAGACAAACCAATGAACCGCAGAGACTTGGACACTTCTTCTATTGAGAGTCCTGAAAGGTCAGCTGGTGGCTGCCACGGGGAGCCATCACCACAAGACCGAGGCACCAGCTGGAGACGGAGTGGAGATGCAAAGGGACAGGAGATGGAGAAGATGTCCTGCATGCCCTTTTGAACAAAATACTGGTCCTCGGAGAGGTCTGGTGACCCAGACTTGGGGTCTTCCTCAGCACCATCAATTTTCAGAGGCAAAGGAGATGTCTCAGGGGCAGCTCTTTCTTCCACTGTTTTTGGGGCCCGTGGGGGTAAGGCAGGGCATGAAATACTCTGCTTTGTCGTGCCAGCTGCAAGAGTTTTCTCACTGGTGCTCTCCAAAGAGTAGCTCGCTGACTTGGGACAACCAGACATGCTGCTACTGAATTCTGCAGTGATGGAGCTGGGTTCAAGCTGGCTGGTCAGGAGCTCACAGCCATCAACATCAAAAGGTGCTGGGCAGTTTCTCTTTGGTGTGCCTGGTGTCTTTTGTCTAGGATAACTATAGCTCCTGCTCGGATCTAATAGGAAATCACTCCTAGTCTGGCTCTCTGATGCTCCTGTGTAATGGTTAGGCCACGAAAGCCTGGAGGACAGAGCTTCAGCAGAAGGACTTCCGAATGGGGATTTTAGGTCCACAGAATCAGCTTTCATTCGGTTGCATGGATAGCAGGACACAGGAGCACTTTCAGAAGGACTTGTGTCACTTTTAGTAACGCTGCTTAAAAGCAAACACAGAAGTGGATTAGTGAAAATAAAAGCCAAAATGCCAAGCCTTTCATTATCCACAGAATAATACGAATAGAAAAAGGTAGTTAGGAAAAAATATTTCTAATCACTCACTCACTCAATAAACTAACTTGAGGTTTTTAAAATAATATTTAATAAAATATACTAGTAATTATAAATATGGATGTAATGATTTAAAATGCCATATTACACACATATACATACATACACTTGTTTTTAGAAACAAACAAGAAAATTTTGACCATTAGTTAGTGGATGATGTCTGGATTTTTATGATGAAAAAATTCTTAAGTCATAATTGGGCTTAGTTAGCACAGATGCCATGATTGATTAGTGATGTCTGCTGTGGGTGAGTATCGAGTGAAACAGGTGTCTCATGCTTGCCAGCTTTGTGCAACAGTGACCACATCATCACCATCCATGACTCTATTTACATCAGTAAGTCTGAAGCAGGAGGAAAAGTTTAAATAAAATGCTCAGCTTGCCCAGGTTCATGTACAATTCAGTAACATTAATATAAAGATTTAAATGTTTGGAGAACAAAAAAACCTGCAGGAGAGGGGCTTTAAACTTAAGGATAACATTTGTAGTAGTACTTCCAGCTCTGGGTGCCACATTTTAAGAGCAACAGTGAAACTAGAGTGTGCTCAAAGGTAGGTAAGCAGGCTAACGAGGGACTGATTGGGTGGTGATGCCAAGAGAAACAGTGGGCTGAACTGAGGCTGTTTCTTTTGGAGGAGTGAAGACTTACATCATAGCTGACTTCAAATTTTCTTGGGGTGACAAAGAGAAGGGGGTGGACCTGTTTTTTGTTTTTCCAGACATAAGACATAATTGCAAGTTACATGCAGATAGATTTCAACACAATATTATGAAAGATCTCTAAAAATAATTATTAGCATTTGCCAACAATGGAATGAGCTGCATTGCAAAAGAATGAGCTCACGGCAGTGGAAGGATCCAGACAGAAGTGAATGGCTGCCTGGCAGCGATGTTCAAGAAGGGATTCCTGTAGTGGGTGGAAACTCAGAGGACCCTTTCCATTTCAGGTCCTAGTTGAAGGCTGGTGTCTGTCTGCATGCATCGAAGTCAAAGCAGAAAGAACTAGATGCTGGGTTGTGAGAACCGATGGAAGCCCATGGGTTGCTTCCAAGAGAATACAGTTGGCCATAATCACTGCACTTTTCACAGATTCTTACGATTTCTTTTCTTCCTAAAACATCGACTCTGCCATCTGAGCTCAAAACCAACTGGGTCTCCATCCTGCTCTTTCCAGTAAAATTCCATGGAACAAAACAAAACACATTTCCTCTCCCACTGCTCTACCTAGGTTTTGGCTATCTCGTAAATGTTCTCAAGAACCTGTGAACTGGCTGATGAGAAGAACCTTGTTGAAGTGGGACCTGGCATGAAGACTTACATGTTGTGCAGCCCTGAAGAATAGTAGGACAAGGTGGGGCTGGGAGAACGAGTCTGTTGCCGCGCCGGCTTGACTGTGCGAGGAGGAATGGAGGGGCTTGTGGACAAAGGCTTTGCACTTCGGGGCGGAACAGGTGGGGCGTTCAGGAGCCGGCATTCTTCCCTGACCTGGCGCAGAAAAGAACACTCTGGGTTAGCAACAGCCTGACAATGCCACTGGGCGAGCTCAGTTCTGCAGGGTCAAGTCACTGCTCTTAATCAGTAAGAGGAGGAGTGAGGAAGGGAGTGAGAAGACTAGAGCAAACAAGAAGGACAGAAAACACCAGAGACTGCCAGAGAGAAAATCAGACGCCTATCAAATACTTGCTGGGACAGACTGACTTGGAAAGACACTGCTTGGTAAACGCTTGTTACTGCTGGAATTTAGCAAGTAATGGGTGTATTTAAACAGTGAAATGTGGGGGCTAATGAAATGTGTTAAGAAAAAAGGACATAAAGCAGTCATGATCTTTCTGTCACACAGGATTAGATGACCTTCTCCTACTGGGTTGTATTTATTCACTGTGCAAGTGCTATTCCATTTGACCCATACCTTAGACACTGTGGAGCTTCTCCATAGCACTTTACTGGCTTAACACTCCTTCTGAAGCTACATTCAGGGCTTCTCATATGTGGTGTACACATGAATGACCTGGGGGATTGGGCTAACGTGCAGAATCTGATTCAGGAAGTCTAGGGGGTCCCAGAGATACTCCAGATTTAGAACAAGCATCCAGGTGACACTGAAGCTGCTGGTCCCTTGGCCATACTTCGAGAAGCAAGGCTACAGAGAAATTAAAGAGGCAGCTCTCCAAACCCCCAAATCAGGGCTTTTTTTTTTAAAAGAGCTGCTCCAACTCTCTCACTCTCCCTTCATATTCACACCGCACATGATCTAGGTGACCTGCACTGCTTCCTTGATTCTGCAAACTCTTTGCAGTTTGTTTTCCACCCACCACAGACATTCAGACTACAATTCTTTTTAATGGAAAGTACATTTTACATGTACTTCTCTGTGTTAGGCAGCAGGGGGCAGGTTATACCTGGTTCTGCCCATCTACACTAAAGCACAAGGTCAAAACAGCCAGCTCGGGTGTGTTTTGTCTGCTTTGACATGTTCCCATCAATTGTCACCTTTGCCTTCAACATCTCTCTCTCTCTCTCCAGGGAGCTCTGGGGCAATAAACACATAAAAACAGCAAGTTCCTATTAGCTCCGGGTACATAGTTGGCACACAGTAAAACAAAGGGTTCACATTAGATTTGTTGCCTCTACCACCTGCACTACACACTGGGCCTCCAAACAGCTTCCCAGGCCTGACTCGCCAAAGAAAACCAGATGAAAGGTCACGTGACTGTGGTGAACAGCAAATAGCAGCTCTACGTGAAATGCAAGCAATTGTCAAAGTGTCACCTGTTGCATTTCTTGCTGGGGCTGGGACCATTGCCTCTACCTGGAGACCCACAGCCCTGCTAACTGGGACTCACTGGGCTAGGTAGCAAATGGGTCTCACCGGGAGAAGCCCTTTAAACTACAAGAAAACACTCTGAGCAGCAAGCTCTTTCCCTCACTAGCTCTAGGCTGCTTCCCCTTTTGACATTTTCTAATGTAATTTTCATATCCCCAGTGGGAGAAGGAGCTTTCAGTAGGCTGTGGTGGTGGTGGTGGACGACTGTGGAAAGAAAACTTGGGAAGAAAAGAGGTTTGCGAAAGGGGGAGACAGGATCGCTCAGGAGACTCAGGAAGACTGGTACACCATTTTGGGATCTTCTTTCCTTAAGCAGCTGAGAATCAAGTCAGATACTGAGGGTCTAGCTGAGAGCTGAGTCACCCCACTCTGTGGCTTGGTGAGATATATATTGTGTCATCTCTCTTCTGTCTTTTTAGTAAATTTTGCAGCAGCCAATCTTTTTTTTTTTTTTCCCTTTCCCTTTCTTAGGGAATGTCTATAGAATCTAGGATGGATGGGTGGAAGTTTATCACAGATGTTCTTGGTTACATTTATGCATATAGTAACAGGAATCACAGAAAACCTGAGAAGATAAGGCATCTGTCAATGGGAAGTCCTACTGTACTGCATTTTACGAGGAAATTTATGGTTTGGTGGCATATACAATTTTGGAATTCAGAAGTTACGGGTGAGGGTTTATTGGATCATCTAACCTATTGACTTACACCCTTAGAACATTCTACATTTCTGTGCTTCTTGATTTGATTCAACATGGGCCATTTATATCCAAGAGGATTACAGCTGTGCTTTAAACAAATTTTAATGACAATAAAAAGCAATTTACAATAGTGGATGGCCAGACACCCTATTTACAGTCTTCCCTCACACTCAATTACAACAACTCTTAAGTGCTACCTTTCCCACACATCTAAAAACCTCAGCATGTGGCTTTCATCACACTACTTCCCATCTTAATGGACCCTGTGACTACAGGTTGGCCAAGCTCTCCTGACTTCCAGCTGAGGCACATCCGGCTCCCATCCATTGTTCTAGCTGTTTCTCCCCCTACTCAACGCAACACACATGGCTCCATGCAAAGTGACGGATTCAGTGTCATCTAATCACACCTTGGACTTCCCTGTCCTTCTCTCTGCTTTTGGTTTTTAATGCTTATGTCCACCTATATGCCAATTTCTATGGCCCACTCCCAAACTTTACAGGATCCGGGGCCATCTCAAGTCGCCACCAGAAGTGACCATGGTTCTGAAGTCTGCTAACACATATTGTTTATATATACTTACTTTGCATGCATATTTAAGTAGCCTGAAAGCTAGAATGGTAGGGACTTGTCATCATCATCATTCTTGTTATTATTGTCTTACTGACAATAATAGAGCTTGGAGATTTGTCACCTCTTGCATAAATATGCCACTCAGAACTCAGGTAGAGGTTAAAAGATGTCACAAAAATACAGCCAAGAGGCACTTTTATTTTTAAGTCTACACCACAAGAATACCCTTCATATTTGTATGTGGAACTTGCTATGACAAGGCATTTGGGCTGGATGCTGGTTCTTCTAAGTGTCCTCACATGAGTGTTAATCTGGGGGAAAAGGAAACGTGCCAGCAGATCTTACTGGAACAAACCTCTATCACCACCACACTCTGACCATTAAATTAAAAATGACTAGTACTTCTAAACTGGTCAATGTCTGTGATTTTAATTTTCAGTCTTCTCAGAGAAAGTTAGTTACCGCTCTAAAGTGAAGATGGAGTAAAATATATCATGCCTTGAGGCCTGTGAGCCCTCCTCTTAATTTCCAGTGCAGCATGTAAGCCTGAACTTCCCTTGACGACACAGGGGGACCGGTACCTGCATTACCGGTAATAAGCTCTCGTGCACACTGGTGCTCAGCAAGGGGTTGGCATTCTCTTTTTTTAAAAATAATATTTTATTGAGTTTTTGGTGAAACTTTACACAGCAAGTTAGGCTCCCATTTGACATTTTTCACACAAATTGTTCCTTGACATCAGTTACATTCACCACAAATGTGCCAACATTCTCTTTAGTTGTGTTTTGTTTGTTCCCTTTCCAGTGCTCTAGTTTCACTGCCCCCTTATCGTCTCATCCTAGCTTTTAAGAAATTGTTGAACTTTAGATGTCATACTGGTGGTTTTGAAGGAGGGCACTGACCATAGGGGTAATATTTTTTATTTTTAAAAGGTGGTCTCTGGATAAGGCTCAGTTCTAGGTTTAAAGAATGTCTCAGGGTGACAGCCTCGGGGGCTCTCTGTTCTCTACTTTTCCAGTTTGTCTGGACTTTTTTTAAAGTTAGAACTTGAGTTCTGCTCCATATTTTTTCCCCCTTCTATCTGGGACCAGGTACTGTGGCCCTGGGTCAGTGGTGCTGGCTGGGCACTATCTAGCTCTTCTGGTCTCAGGATGGTGAGGTTGTGGCTTCCGTAGACTAGTTTCTCCACTGCACTTTTTGTTTCTTTCTTACTGTTTTGTTCTTGGCGAACTGAGACCTGTGGATAAGCTTCTAAGACCCCAGATGTCACTCACTGCACTAGGATGCAGACTGTGATTTTTGTTAACTATGTTATGGCATTCTCTTTTGAGGTGGACATTACCATCCCTTGCAGATTACAGGTGACCTTTGCTTATTTGTCGGTTATTCCTAGTTATGAGTAGCTTGGGTGTTTGCAGAGACGCTCCTGGCACCAAAGTCCTATTGTTTATGACAGGGTCAGTGAGCACAGCATGGATTCAGGTAGTACCAGAGTAAGTCAACTCCCATTAGTAACTACAACCTTGCTTCATTGGCAATTCTCTGGTCTAAAGCTCTTTCTGGCTGTTACACTTCTAGTCTAATTTTCTCTCTCATCCTTGCTTTTTCACAGCAAATCTTTCCCTTCCCTAAAATGTTCAGTGATTCCCTTATTATTTAACATTAGACACCACAACCTGGAATACAACTCTCTTTGGTATTCATGCAGCAGACTGCTAAACCCAGAGCTAAATATAAAGTTAATTTATCTAAAGGTACAAATGGTAAGTTTTCTTCTTTTGAGAATTGTACTTTTCATTAGCCTACAAGCATATTCTTAGGGAGGCACATTCAAATTTAAACTATCAGTTAACACAATGAAATGATCTGACAATGGTGGTTTGACATGAGCTTGAAAAGGTGTTTGTTGGATCACAGGCACCAACCACTTCCATTGTCCCTGACAGTCTGAAGAACATGGCATTGTTTTTACCTACATGTGTTAATTCCATTACTTATTTTTTTAAAAAATTAATTCCATTTTGTTCATTTATTTGTTTAAATATATATGGTCATTAAATATATATATATATATATATATATATACACACACACATACTGAGCACACAAAAATGGGTAGCCCATGGAAGTAGTTGTGAGGGAGGGAGAGGAACACACAATCAAGATACAAATGGGTAGATGGAGTAACAGAAGTATGTACATGGGTCTGTGGGAGCACCATAAATGCACTCCAGGGGCAGGAAAAGGACACAGTCACAGCAAAGCTTACTGTGAAGGTCTTGGGGAAGAAGGAATTATGAGGGTACATTCCAAAAAGAACAATCAGAATGATACTCGAGTCTGGGGGCTTAGATGGTGAGACAAATACTGGTTGTATTTATCGGACAG